TGTTAATCTTGTTCATAAATATATACTCTTTTTAACATATACGCTTAAAAGTTGTCCAATAAAGTTTGTCCTACCATAAGTATAATACAAGTCTCGATCTTCACTACTTAGTAAAATGCAACTACACAACTCAAAGTGACTTCCTGTGGTTGTAACATAGTCATTAGACATGATAAGGAATCCTGGAAAATAATACGAGAATCGTTTGGATTAAAAATGAATTAAGAAAAAAAAGTAGAACAAAATGATGGATAAGAAAAGTAGAATGAAATGATGGAAAAGAAAAGTAGAAAAAAATGGAGAAAAAAAATATTTTTCGTAAATATGACACAAACAAATTAACCTAGGTAAACTACGTGTTTTCTTTTGCATTTTTATATTCTCTCTCGCTCTCTCTCTCTCTCTCTCTCTCTCTCTTTCTCTCTCTCTCTCTCACACACACACACACACACACACACACATATATATATATATATATATATATATATATATATATATATATATATATATATATATATATATATATATATATATATATATATCACCAAAGGGCTTCTAGCCCAACGGTACCGGTGTTGCCCTCCCTCCTTGAGGTTGAGGGTTCATGTCCTGTTGTGGACATAGGTGAATTTAAGGAGTAGTTTAGAAGTAGGTTAGATTTGCCGTTTCAAAAAAAAGAATCAATGAATGGTATAAATGAGTCAAATGTATGATTTTTAGGAAAACCATATGCCACGACGTGACATGAAGGGTGTCATGACCTGACATGACAATTAGAGATCCCGTGTCCAGAATAGTTGTCACGACATGACGAATGGAGTATAACGATGTGATAGCAGCTGCAACCCAAACCCATGATTTTTAGGGTCTCTTTCATATTTAAAGCCATTAACTCATGCCATAGGGAATCATTTTCAACCTCCAACCTCTCTCAACGAAACCTTAGCCACATTTCATGTTTGTGAGCTTATTTGATTGATTAGAGGCCTTGTTCTTGGCTTATGGTGAAACTTGAAGAAGAAGGAAGTTCATTGTGGTGTAAGGAAGCAAGGAACTAGCTTGGATCCCTCACCCCCTTTCGATTTTGGAGTTGTTGGAGGTATAAAGTTCACATCTTGATCATTGTTCTTCTTATTTCAAGTTGGGACTCATTTAGATGATTTTGGTCCCTTCCATGAATTCTCTTGGAGTTTGAGGAACTTCAGAGCTTGTTGTGACTCTTAAATGGTCCTTAGGTTTCTAAGAATGAGAAAAGATTATTGGATTTGATTTATTCTTGTTATTTATCTCCTATTTTCTAGTTAGATATTCTATCCTTTTATATCCTTTATTGTATTGTATATAAAGGATCTTTTTGATCTCTGATGGAATAAGAATGAATGAAATTTAAGATGGTATCAAAGCAGGAAACTTAGCTGCTCTGCGAAACCCTAAATCTCCATCACCATAGCCGGTGACAGTGTCGAATCTTCCAACAAGAACAGTAACAACAACATGCCAGATCATGACTCTCCTTACTATATTCACCAATCCGATTTTCCCATACAAATGCAAGTCAACGAAGCTTTATCTGATAATAACTACATGGATTAGGTCCAAGAGATGGAGAACTTCTTGTTCGCCAAGAACAAGATTGGGTTCATAGACGACACCATTGTGAAACCATAGAAGACATCGAAGGACTACATGGCGTGGATGAGATGAGATGCAATGATAAATGGATGGCTTACTACAACCAAAAATAAATAAGAAAGCAACGTCAAATACGCCAACACTACTTCAGAAATATGGTTGGTTCATCGTGAAAAATATGGGAAAGAAAGTGCTCTTAGAGCTTATGAACTGAAGAACCAACTCACCACCACCCGACAAGATGGGACTTTTGTGTCTGCCTACTACACCAAGCTACGATCACTATGGGATGAAATTCAATCTACGTGTCCTACACCGCAGTGCACCTACAATGGGTGCACCTTTGGAATTGGAAGACGTCTCGTTGAACATCAAGAAAATGAGAGATTATATGAATTTCTCATGGGCCTTGATGGTGAATTTAATGTCATCAAAACCCAAATACTCGCTACTTCTCTTACACTAGGTCTGGGATCCGCCTATTACCTTTTCGTTGAAAACGAACGTCAAAGAAACATTACCAACAGAAAAACAATCCTCCATAGAGGCTGTTGCCTTCAAGACCTTTATGCCAAACAAGCGAGACGAGAACTCTTGGCAAAAGAACGATTCAAATAAGTGTTCCACAAAGCGAGAGTCTGAAACACAACACTGCACATTTTATGATAAAGATGGTCACAATCGTGATGGATGTTTTAAACGCATTGGGTATCCAAATTGATGGCCGGGCAAAGGCAAAGTAGACAAAGACAAACCGAGAGCTTCTTGTGTCGACATCAGCCCCACCCCATGTCTTACAACCGATCAGTACGAAGTCTTCTTGAAGCACTTTGGAGGATCCACTAAACTTGAAGGTGAAGAAACTATGCCAATGGCTAACATGATAGTTAGATTGGATGATGAGGATGATTGCGTCGTTGATTTCGGTGCAACCGAACATATAACTTATAGAGCCGAAATTCTCAACAACAAAACTAAAAATACATGTGAGAGGCCTGTTGTGATTCCTAATGGAGATGCCATACCAGTTGAAGGAAGAGGCGATTACACCTTACCGTGTGTCACAAAATTGAAGGAATCTTTTACGCCTCTCAATTTAATTACAATCTTTTATCTGTTAGTCGATTAACAAAAAACCTTTAGTGCGACCTAACCTTTTTTCTGAATTTTTGTGTAATGTAGGGTCTCCGATCGAGGAACTTGATTGGTGCGGGTGATTTTTGAAGTGGGCTATATCGTATGGGGATTTTTGAAGAAACGAAAAAGGCAATGCATGTCACAATTGATAGATGGCACAAGAGATTGGGTTATGCTTTATAAGGAAAGTTAGTTAAATTATATTTTCTTAAAAACATTTCTTCTAGTTTTAAGAATAAAGTATGTGATTCTTGCTCCAAGGCAAAACATAAAAGATATCCTTTTGTTTTGAGTCAAATAAAGACAAGTCAATGTTTTGAATTAATTCATCATGATGTTTGGGGAAAATACTGTGTACCTTCCCTCACGAGTGCCAATTATTTCCTTGCTGTTGTTGATGATTTCAGTAGGATTGTTTGGATTTTCTTGATAAAAAACAAAGATGATGCTGGTAGGTGTTTATTCGATTTTCATAAAATGGTTGAAAATCAATTTGGAAAACAAATCAAAAGAGTAAGAAGTGATAATGGGATTGAGTTCACTTCCCATGCCATGACCGATTTTTACAAAAAACAAGGAATTCTATTTGAAACAACTTGTCCTCACACACCTCAACAAAATGGGGTTGTTGAGCGGAAACACATACATCTTTTGGATACAGCTCGAGCTTTAAGGTTTGAAGCTGGTCTTCCAAAGAAATTTTAGGGAGAGTGTGTGTTGACTGCTGCCTACATCATTAATCGATTTCTATCTACATCCATTTCAAACAAAACCCCATATAAAGTGTTATTTGGCCAAAAAATCTGATTATGAACACACGAAGGTATTTGGTTGTTTAACATATTACAGGAGCAATGAAACCAAATGTGACAAATTCGAAGTGAGGGGGAGACCAGGTATCTTCTTAGGCTATCCACATGAAACTAAAGGATATAAGATTTTTTGATATAGAGTAAAGGAAAATTGTTGTATCCAGAGACACCAAGTTTCATGAGGACATCTTTCCTTTTCCCACAAATTCTATGCGTGACAATGAGGGACCAGGTGACTTTTTTTTATGACACTTCAGTTCAATTTTCACAAGAAAACAATCATGGATCACAGATTGAAGAACCCGAACAAGAGATTGAGAACCCATCTAGTAGTCCAGGCTCACAGGTCCAAGATGAGAGTGTGAGCCCACAAGCCGACAGTATGGTCACTAGCCCACAAAATTTGGATCTTGACACTTCTCTCGGGAGCCCAGAAACCCAAATCACCACGAGGCCTCAAAGAAATCGTGCTCCTCCAAAACATTTGAGTTACTATATTGTGCAGCTTCCCCCTTCGGTTAATCCCACATAGTCCGTATCAAATCAATGCTCCTTGACGGTATACCCGATTGACAATTTCTTATCTTATGATAAATTCTCTGACTCTCACAAAATGTTCTTAGCGGCCATCACCTCAAATGATGAGCCAACTTGTTTCAAACAAGCCATGCACGATCGTCGTTAGATTGATGCCATGAAAAAGGAGATCCAATCTCTTGAACAAAATGAGACGTGGACGTTGGAGACTCTTCCAAAAGGAAAATGTGCTATTGACTCCAAGTTGTTCTAAAAAATAAAGTACAATCCTAATGGAGAAATTGAACGATACAAGGCGAGACTTGTTGCAAAAGGTTTCACACAAACCAAAGGAGTTGATTTTAATGACACTTTTTCTCCCGTTGTGAAGCTTGTTACTGTTCGAACCTTATTGGCTGTTGCTACCAAGAAGGATTGGATGATACATCAACTTGATGTCAACAAATTCTTCTTACATGGAAATTTGGATGAAGAAGTCTACATGAAAGTTCCTCAAGGATTTTCTAAAGACAATGACACGAGGGTTTGTCGTTTACAAAAGTCTCTCTATGGTCTCAAGCAAACATCAAGGAATTGGTACAAGAAGTTTACTACTGCTCTCTTGGGTCTTAATTTTAAACAATCAAGATCCGATCACTCACATTTTCTTCATAATCATGGTAGCACTTTCATTGCTATTCTTATTTATGTTGTCAATGTGATCATTGTGGGTAATGATGCGAACAAGATCCAAGAAATAAAGAGGTGCCTACATGCTATGTTTAGCATCAAGGATATTGGAGTCCTAAAGTATTTCCTTGGGATTGAAGTGGCAAAACTTCCAACGATTTGGTTCTCAGTCAAAGAAAATTCACCCTCGATATTTTAAAGGACAGTGGTATAATGGGAGTTTGCCCTAGTTCATTTCCAATTGAGCAAAATATTAAAATTAATCAAGATGAGAACCAACCAAAGGTTGATACGAATCAATACCAGCGAATTATTGGTAAACTTCTTTATTTGCAAGCAACGAGACCTGACATAGCTTACTCAGTCAACATTCTTTGTCAGTTTGTCGCTGATCCTAGGCAACATCATTTTGATGCTCTTCTGCGTTTCCTTCGTTATCTCAAGACTACCCTTGATAAAAGAATTCTTCTATCGCGATTAGGTGGAAATGACCTCGTGGCTTACTCTGACTTGTGACAACCGGAAAACTTCTGGTCGCGTCTAAGTCAAGTCAAGGTCAACGGGTCAACTGGTCAACTCAACTAGTACTAATATTTTAGGGATTACTTTGAGTTTACTAATGTATGACTCTAAATCTTAATGCAAAGTAACACATGAAAGTTTCAAATGTTCAAAATTTATAACCCTAATCTGATTGAGGGAAGTAACAGCTTTATAAAATACTATTAAGTGCCCTTCGGGGGTGTATATCACTCAAAATGGGATGTAACTAAGTCTACGGTCTTTGAACTACGAAGAAAAACATTAATAAAGGCTCCCGACAAAGTCTCTCTCTCCATCTCTCCCACTGTATCTCTCTCTCTCTCTCTCTCTCTCTCTCTCTCTCTCTCTCTCTCTCTCTCTCCCCCAAGTCTCTCCCAAATCTCTCCAAGTATGTGAAATCTCTCCCAAATCTCTCCAAGTATGTGAAATCTCTCCCAAATCTCTCTATGTACCTTCCTCAGTCGAAAACAGCCCAAAACCGAAGGAGAAAACCCAAAAGGACCCTCTTGGTCCGGAATCCTCTTGGTCCGGAACCCTCTTGGTCCGGAATCCTCTTGGTCCGGACTCCTCTTGGTCTAGAACCCTCTGGTCCTGAACCTCTTGGTCGGAACCCTCTTGGTCCGGACTCCTCCTTTCGGAACCTCGCACCGGAAGCAGTGCCTCGCCTCGATTCGGAAGATTGCTGGCCGGACCGGACCACTGATCTCGCACCTGACTCCGGATCCGAGAAGAGCACTCCGGAAATGTGAACCTAACTCCGGACCTCACCTGTTGACTCTGGAATTTAGAAGGGGACTCCGGAACTCGCTTCTTGACTCCAGATTTTGTCATTTTCGGACTTTTTCATCATTTTAAGGCATTTTGACGTCGGAAATCACACCAAACTCGTATTTTTCATATCCTAAACCCCTTAAACCCCTGTTTTATGCTAAAAATTAATTATTTTAAGCATATTTAAATAAAATAATACCCAAGATTTTTAAAGTGATTTAAGAAGATAAAGGGGTTTGACTTTATGATGTGATATAAATCCCTCTTTTCCCATGCAAATCTCAATAAAACACACATTACCCATAGAAAATAAGCTTTACCCACCAGCCCTTCATGCAAATGTCAAGTCACCCCCTTATCCTCCCCATTTAGATACGTGAACCTTCCTCCCCAAGTTCCACTTCTCATTTTTCACTTGCAGAAAACTCCTAAAGCTGCTCTCCACTTATTCAAGCTTCAAGTCTCATCTCCTCCAAAGAAAATTTCCAGATTTCTTTTTGTAAGTATTTTATCTTCTTTGAATAATAATTCTCCACATTATTCCTAAGATTTCATTATATTTACACATAAAATTATTCTTAGAATATTCTAAAGATTAAAGAACCTTCCAAGTTTTGGAGCTTGGAAACTTCCTCACATCCCTTCAAATCACCCAGCAAGCTAACCAAGGTGAGCTTCATACCCCACCTTTTTCCTAAATTTTTATTGTTTTTGGGGGAGAGTACAAGTCAACCCTTGTTCTAAATTCTTGAATAATTGCATGTATACGTATGTTGAGATGTGTGTGTGTAGAAATATTATTATTTTATTTAACTTTTCATGGACGTGAGATTTCACAAATCTCATGAACTTTAGAAAGTATTCTCATCACCCCACAAGAAATACCTTGTTTATAATAGAAGCCTCCCAAGTTTTGAGTATGTCCAACATACCCCCCTTTATCCATGGCTTCTTGTCTAGAAATAAAAGTTGTTAAAATATATTTTGATATGTTGACACTGTTTCTATATCTCTTTTGAAAAATTGGAACTTATTGTCATATTAGTGACTTTTTGCAAACTATTAGAGATTATTTATGGATATTTGAAATAAATAATTTCACCAAGAAAACTTACAAATGGAGCCTTTATGACAGAAAAATTTGCATGTCATAAAGTTGTTGTCATAACTTCATACAAGTCCTAGTTTACACAAATCATAACCTGACACCTTTCGACAAATGGGGTTTCACTTAGTAAATATTAAAGGGAAGAGCCTTTTTGCCAACTTCTCTAATATTGGGTCGATTGATAAATATGCAAAGCGGATTATTTTCAACAAAACGAAACGCAACAAAACAAAGCGAAACGAAACGAAATATCTAGTCAACGAGTACAACTACTATTATTTAATTAGTAAATAATGGATTTCACGATTGTTCAAAAATCTGTTAGTATTCTAGTCAGACAAATCTTCACAGTACATATATTTATATAAATAGTGTATGCCTAAATTCGTGTAAGAGTTATAACCAGAGTCTCCTGGAGGGGGAATGGGAATTTGTGTATAGATCTATATGGGGTTGACACCCCGCACCTTCGCTGTTCGCTACAGCTAGACCGGCCAGTCTAGGGTGACAAATGTCTTAAACGAAACCGACGCCTGAAGAACGTCATAACGGGCACTCCGTCATATTAGTATGGTTATAACGACTCACTAGAATATATCAGAAATGTATTTGTACAGATTTCACTTTTGGTTTACAAACAACTATGAATTGGTTTGTTCAAATGAAACTTTTCTACACAAGTGTTATGGTTTTCAAAGCTACTATTTTATACATAAGAAAATATAGGATTTTCTGGAGGAAACAATTATATACAATTTTCGAAAACGACTAACTAAGACACACATGCAACTATACTCGAGTTGAAACAAGACATACAACTATTTGATAAGAAAATATTGGATTTTCTGGATTTCTAAACTATCATCAAAGTTTTATACAAAAATGCTTATGAACTCACCAACATATTTTATGTTGACGCTTTTCAAACGACTTGTATTCTCAGGAAACCAATAAGCAGGTTGTGGATCGCGGACTCAAGATTATTTTGCTATATTTTGGATTTGCTTACTGATGTTGCTTTTGTGTAAAATTTGAGAACATAAACATGATGTAAAACAATGTAAGCTTGTTATATTGATGTATGATGTTTGGATTTGCTATGTTTCATTCATATGCAATTGTTATGATACTACACAATGAAGTCACCCGCCTCCGGACGTTTCTGCCGTTCTGGTCCGGGGGTGTGACAGATTGGTATCAAAAGCATTGTTTATAGTGAACTAGTATATCTAGCCATACAGGATGTACAACTATAAATATAATGGGACTAAAACACTCTGACTAAAAGAATACATACTTGCTAGGACTGTATCATAACAAGAAGTAAAACAAAATAACTCAGAGGTTGAACACTACAGTCAAACCTGGACAGTTATGTAATCATATCTGGAATAAATATAGTCTGATCAACTATATTTATTTGAGATATGACCAACATGTGTTCGGGAGTGGTAGTGGTGTTGCAACAAGTCTAAAGTTTCCCAACTTGCTATCCAGAAGTTTGAGAACCAACCCTAAAATAAGTAAAATACTATAGGAGTATTTTGACGTTCTATTTCCTCGTACACACTTATTCTTGCACAGACGACGTGGCAGGCTTTCACCACCCCGGAGACCCTTACTTTCCCAATCAGGGGAATGGAGGTTGGATTGAGGAAGACCCAGAAGAAGACCCCGAGGAACCCATGAAGGATCCCGAGGAACCGATAGAGTTTGAAGAGGAGGACATCGATGAAGAAGTCGAGGAAGATGACGAGGAAGAGGTTGAGGAGGACGAAGAATCAGACGCAGAGTCTGAGGTTATCAACCCTCCCTACATGGAAAGGGTACCACCGCATCGGATGGGCTACAATGGCCCTACACCTCCTTGGGCTGACAATATCGAGAGATGGGGCCGACGCCAGGGTCAACAACCACCATTTGGGATGAACCGAGGTTACTACGATCTTCGACATGGAGGACCAAACAGATCGCGCACTCCCTGTCGTGGTCAGACGTATTAGGGACATCGGTGCCCAGGCTCAAGTGACCGCCGACCGGGTAATGCAGATGCAGGCGGCTATGCAGGTCACGGATACTCGCACGCGAGACCTAGATCGAGACTTCTATCCAATGGAACGACTCGTGGAAGATCTTGCCACTGCACGAGCGGAGGTCAGAGAATACCAGGAGCGGCACACTGCTTTGGAGGAGCGCATACGGATCACCGAACACAGGTTACCTGAGCTCCAGGGCACGTCTACCTCATCGTCAGCACCACCAGAACCGACTCGTCGCGGCTAGTACCTGTTCACTCGCTACCGTATCGACTTTCTTCTGTGCACTACCCTATGTATTTTCGTGTTAGCTTTTATTTCACTACGTGTATTGTATGCCTTTTTAAAGGAAAAATTTTCATGTACTCAAGAAATTATTATCAATGAAAAGAGGATATATATTTTCTTATGATATGTTACCCATTGTGCGCTCTATTGCTACTATTACATGTTAAATTTATACACACTTGTTCATATGCACCCAAATCACCGATACCATTCTATAATCAAGAAAATCGTGAAACGAAATGCATTGGATACTCATTGTCCTTCTGATCCATGACAGAAAGATGCCGATGAGGTCAACCCGTAGGAATAACAACACACCACCGCCGCCGCCCCGGCGGAAATGAACTCTGCGGCTTTCCAAGCGGAAGTTTCAGCCGCAGTGACAGCAGCTCTAGCCCACATCCAAGCTGGAAATAATGGTGCTGGACAAGGCCAAGGGACAGGAAGCTCCCATCACGAGATGAATCAAGGGCCCGTAAAGGCCTGTACCTACAAGGATTTTTCCAATGCAAGACCCCGAACTTTCAACGGGACTGGAGGAGTCATAGCTTTGAAACGATGGATCGAGAAGGTAGAGTCAGTGTTCGAGATATGTGAATGTCTGGAAGGGAGTAAAGTCAAATTCGCGGCCTGCACTTTCATCGACCAGGCACTGTCATAGTGGAACGGTCATATCGAGGCCATGACACTTCCCATTGCAAACGCTATGTCCTGGGAAGAACTCAAAGAAATGTTAATCGCCGAGTACTTCCCCTGAGGGGAAGTTCAAA